TAATAATATTAATTATTATTATTATTTGTAATCATTTTTTTTATCAAGATCTCTGTTTTCGTCCCCTTGATATTCTTTTAGTGCTACCACTCTGAAGGTAATCTTTCTTCTTTTAGCTGAATTGGTTGGGTCTCAATCAACTCGACCCTTTCACTTTACATCTCATTAATTCAGCGTGCATAATTATCAATTCATAAATCAAAACATTTCGAGATTAATTATACAACGAATCATCGTCTAACTTACTCAGCTCTGACCTTATTCAATTGTCGCAATTTTCCATAATTTTATGATGCAATACCGGTGAATATTTTATAAAATTAAATATAAACTATAAATATAAATATAAACTAAGGTACATTCTCTTCGCTCCAGCCACTAACTGTGGACTCGAAAATTATCTTTCTGATTCCGTGTTTAACCCATCTGGCCAAACTGCGGTAAAAGTGAATATTCCTCTAACAGTTTGATGCCACGAAATAAATGTTTTCTACTGCGGGGGCAGATATATTTCCAAAGCACTTCATAAGTCTTGCGAACAGCTTTCCACGAGAACTTGAGGTGCCACCGATCAGGAAACAGCTTTTCAATCAAATTGAATTAGTTTTTTCATTTAGTCTCTGCTTATGATTTTCTACCCTTTTAAACGAGGTTTTAGTTTTTCATTTTATTACAAATCTTGCAAAGCATGTTATCACACATACACAGTGAAAATACTATTCTGCAACGTGGCTACTTTGAGCTTTGTGAATGTAAATCAGGGATACATGAAAGGATCACCGGCATCTTGTTGTGGCGTTGAGATGGCTTGAGGCTAAGTCTTTAGTATTTTACCTCCAAAACGCCTCTTTGCCATAATTAACAGCGGCAAGTCCTTTTTCAATTTTATTGACTCGAAACCTTGTTTGGCTGTTCACAATCGAATTGTTTTACAGACACAGCCTTGCCTCGTGGAGTGAGCCTTAAAACATAGCCCTTCGGAGTGGGTCATAACGACAATTAAAAAAAAAAAAAAAAACCAGGCAAATAATTAAAAGAACCAATTTTAATATCTCGTAGGAAGATAAAATATTCATAAAACATGTCTGTGCTGTTATATACTAAGATGAACTAGTAGCGTGGATGAAATTACTCTTACTTCCATTGTTTTCTTTCAACGCATAGACGGCCGGATTTGAAATACAACGGTTTAAAACCGACTTCTCACCTTGATTTATTTCATGTTAAATCAATCGACTTTACGATTGCTAAAATTTGGCGATAGCCGGGTGATATTCCAAACCATTTACATGGCGTTGCATCCTCACACTTAACGCTGGAAAAGGATTTTTAAAAAGTACGTACACGGAAGTGTTTTCCACAGTTAGGAAGATAAATCATTTGTTTTGCGCTTCCCTCGAATGTGTCTCGTTTTACTTTCGATGTGTCTACGAATCGGCTCGCCTTTCAGATAAGCGTTGAAATTTTTTGCAAAAGCTATGACTGGTAAAGAAAACGCTAAAACGCCAAACACGGCACAAACGCCACCAACAACTTTTCCAAGACTTGACTTGGGATAAAAATCCCCGTATCCAACGGTACTCACTGTCGTAACACTCCACCAGAATGCTTCAGGAATGCTGGAAAAATGACTTCCATCTATTTCGAGATCAGTGTAAAAAACAGCACTCGAGGAAAGAATCACTATCATAAACATGAACAATATCATCATTTCTAGCTCGTTAAGGCTTGCGCGGAGAGTGTACATCATAATTTTCAGTCCGTTCGAATATCGAGTCAGTTTTAAAATACGGAATATTCTAAGAAGTCGGGCGATTCGCGGAACCGCTAAGGACACAAGTCGGCGATTTCCACCGATCATAATAGCAAAAAAAGGTATAATGGCTATCAAATCCACAAAGTTCAAAGGCGATAGTAGAAATTCCAATCGGTTTGGAGCCGCCGCAAAGCGCACAATATATTCCAGTAAAAACCACGAATAGCAAGTCGTTTCGAGGGCTATGAACACTTCCGGAGTTTCGTGGGTACAATTTTTCTGTTCTTTGCCTGGCAGATCAGTTTTTTCGCTGCTTGATGTTACGTTAGTGCTATTGTCCATCAGTTCGGTGCAACATCCTCTAAATTGGCACAAGGTCTCAAGGCAGGAGATAAGCACGGAGGTAGCAATCATGAGAACTGAGAATAATGCGATAGCTCTGGCAAAATTCGAAGTGTCGGGGTGTTCGAATAAATTCCAAACTTGGCGTTGAAATGTCCATTGCGGTGGCTCGGCGCGTTGCACACGACGGTTTTGATACAAACACTTTGCAACACTCTTTAAAGCTTGTTCCCCAAGTTGAAAAAACTCTACCTCTTCCGTAAAAACGCTTGCAGGAATATCGTCAGGCCAAATAAGCCTTCCTCCTGACTGGTAATAAAATAAAATTGATTCAAATGCCACTCGGTGGCGATTAAAGAAATATTCCTGTACTACAGGATTATAGTATTGCTGTCGTCTGGATGGACTTCCAAGAAGCGTGTCGGGAAAACGGCTCAATGTCCCCTCTTTCGTTTCAAATGTCATTCCGCTGACGTTGATAACAACACGGTCGTCCATTTTACAAAAACATCCTTTCTTTGTCTCGATGAAGGAATTTCAAGACCCACAAGGCAAGATCCAAACTTAACTGCAATTTAGGGATGCATCTGAAGTCTCTGTGATATATGCAGAATTTCGTTTGTCTCCGAAACGATCACGACAATATTAATTTTGTGGGCGCCTTTCGCGAATTTCTCCACAAGTGATTCGTTTGATTCTTAAATGGTGCACAAGAACGTGTTTATGTGTTTAAAATGGCCTTGACAGGCGATCTTGGTTTGAATACAGCTGCAGGGATATTTTGAATATAAAGGTGACAAGAAAAGCAACTGGAGAGGGTAATTTAATGAAATATGGATAAGCATCTCAGGTACTTCGTCATAAACGGCCAATGACTGGCTCTCTTAACAATGAGTACTTTGACATTAGAATCTTGAGAATTAACTTTGAACTAAATTTACATTGGAGGCTTAGGCCAAACAAAGAAAACGAACGGATAGTTTTTAGACGAGGAAAATACTATGATTTACAATACAAAAGCAGTTTACGCCACAACGATAATTATTTCACACGATATTTTAACGGAGAGCAAATAATAATCATTGTTTTTAACGAAGAGAATCGATGGTGAGGATACCAAGTGAAGATTTGCGGCTCTAGAGCAGGTTGCAAATTAAAATAAATTGAAAGGCAAGCTCGACACCTTAATTGCAAAAAATATTTCAATTCTACCGTCTTTGTTCATCGGGTTCGACTTGAATGTGAAATTTTTCTGGAACTTGCATTTTACACAACGATTTCATCATTTATTTGGGTCGAGTTACGGCTCGATGAGGTTACATAAAATACTTCGGGTCAAAAATAATATTTATCCTACAAATAATAGCTTTCCAATATTAGCGATCGATTTCACTCACTAGAGCTTGAACAATGACCACTGTAATACGGTTAAATTACATCGTCGTAATTTGTAATGTTTAGTTGTACCACCTGCTGTAAAAGAGATTAGTTGTCGGCAAATAGACAGCAACTGTTTCAAACAAACACGAAAGCTTGAAGTAACTACCGCGAGGTAATTTAAGGCAGAAAACATGTTCATTTTCTCTTACCCTAATAAAAATTAGTGGCAACATATGTACGTAATATATATGATAATCAACAGCGGTAAAAAAAATTGGAAAGACAACTATCATACTTAGATATGGTGATGGAGATGTGCCCACGCTCTATGCAAATGAACAGCTTTCAAGAAAGCTCGCGATGTCCTACGGGTTACAAGATTGTTTGTTTGCGATCGTAAAGAATTTCGCCACCGAAAATTTACAATGAGAAAATTCAGACGGTAATACAGTATTAGGGAAGCGTCGAAGAGCAAAATTTTGTTTATCATCACTGGTCTGTTTCATTTGCATTTTCTTCCTTGGATTTCATTAACTTCAGACCACACGAATGAATAGCTCAAACTCGCCTGTAACTGCTTCACTAGCCCACTTTTTAGACATGACACCAGTCGAGCTGTAAAGCTAACACTTAACAAATTGCAATCAGCACACTTAACCTTCAAATCAACTTCAACTGCGTTTTTAAGGTCTCGTTCGAAAATACGAGACATTCACACAGTTGGTGGACTTTCTCCCTTACTTTTCTTATATCCTTCGTCGGGATCTGAGCAAAACTAGCAAAAAATTTACAACACGAAAATTATGAGGAATGAGGCGGTGGGATTATACTCGAAGTACGGTAGATGAAGGAGTTGTTTACAGCCACAGCCACCTTAAAGGGAGAGTATTGGTTACATACTTTTATTATTCAAAAGAAAATGCCACATGGAAGCTGTGTCAACATACTGGTAGAAACTTTCAAATAATGCATAAAACATTTGTGGCTCCCTTTTTAACAAATGGTAAACACCACACCGTACACTATTGAGTTATGGATGCACGCGGGAGGTTGCTAAGCACGAAAGAAGCGTAAGAGTCGCTCGAGGCGATAGCCGAGAGCGACTCTAGCTTCTTGAGTGCTTAGCAAACCTCCCAAGTGCATCCATAACTCAATAGTGTACGCTGTGGTGTTTACCATTTGTTTTATAACATAACATTGATACATTGTAGCTAAAGAGTTCCCTTTTATTTAACAAATCTTACGCGACCAGAAAAAAACAAGCGCGCGCGGAAAAATAGTCTTTGCATTTGCTCACGTCAGCAGCGTACACCTATGGGCAAATGGGGGACGCTAATTTGACCAATCAGAGCGCGCGCTTTACTTTGGTTATGTTATAATGACAAATGGTAGAGGTTTAGAATCGGGATATGAACCAGGGGGACAGGGAAAGTTGTTAGAAATTATTTTTTGGTCAGTTTACATGAACAGGAATCATTAGTAACTTGCAATAATAAAGGTTCGTTTCGTTTTAAGCAGAATACAGTTTTTGTCCGTATTCCTCAACTTTCCGCCACATCGACATAACTTCATCCCTCGAGTTTGACGACCAAGCTTTCAATTTTCTCAGGTAATCCGTCTGTAATTTTTTTGCATATTCATTGTTTGGAAATTCCCTCTCTTTTTCTGACGTAATCAGAAAAACTTGACACAATCGAGCGCAAACGACGTCGTACAACAACTCAAACTCTAGATCGGTAAGAGGAAAAACAGCCTGGTAACCATCTATGAAGTAACCGCTGGAAGCTAAGACGTCGTCTTCCTTGGTGAATGAGGCTACAGCTGTCGCTAATTCGAAGAGAAAACATGACCAACGGATGTCACCAAAATCAATCAGTCCGGAAATCCTAAGCTCACCACAGCTCGTGTCGAAAAGAAGATTTGTTTCAGTAAGGTCACTGTGAACTGTGCCCTGCCGCAAAAGACAAATCTTCGGGGTCACGTGCGCAGCAAAGCGGTCCAGGACATTGCAGACAAGCTTCTTATTTTCTTCGCCTTTAACGAAAGAAACGTGGGACTTGAGTGAAAGTAGATTTTCTATACACCATCTGTCTGACTTACTGAGTGACACAGGACTTTCGAAATCCTAGAAACAGACAAATATTTATTATAAATAATAATTAATTCATCGATCTTGAATGTGTCGAATTCTTGTTAGTCAGTCTTCTGCACACCACGTTGGGTTAACATTCCAACAAAGACACAAAAGTATAGACGGGGTAAGTTTCTAAAGAGATTGTGGTGCTTTGTCGGTGGGGAAGTATAACGAGGTAACTTTGGTTTAATCAACTGAGTCAATAATGTAAACTGACCACCGTAAAGAGTTTCAAAGCTGACGTTTTGAGCGTCAGCCCTTCGTCAGAGCGAATGAAGGAATTGTGGGTTGTGTGTGTTTATGTGCGGAAAATGAAGCTACGCTAGCGGTAGGAACATGGTAACGAGAAAAACAAGAATATATTAGTTGAATGAAAAGCATTCGTTGATACCGCGGTGATTAAGTTATTCGATTTGAAAGAAAAACTTTTGTTCTAGAATTTTGTGGTTTTCCGCGCGAGCGCATTTGAAAGTGCGGGTTGATCATTAGTTTGTAGTGAACTTATGACCAAAAAGTTGCCTAAGTTTTTGTCGCGTTTAACGTTTGAATGAAACAAGGGCAAGATTTCCATAAAACCCCATACATTAATTATGCATTGAGTCTTTGTTCAATGAAAACGATAGCGATAACAAAGTTCTGATTTTTTTAAAGCCTTTTTTGAAATAGGGTGAATTTGGCGCGTTTTGGCTTTGGAAAGCGAAACGACTCAGTTAAAACTGCAAAGAAAATAGCGAACGAAAACCTATTACAATATAAATTAAGCTAAATACCCTTAGGAAAACTTCATAATACAAAACTTACATTTGTTGCGATACTGATGAGTCCCTATGGAGTGCCATTACCGCCAATATTCAGCTACTGTTTTTTTATAAAATGGTGCTTAAGATATGAAGCCAATCATGTTTTATGCAGCTAATCATTTTATAAAATGGTGCCTTAAAAAATATGGAGCGCTTTTTATGAAGCCAGTTATGTTTTATGCAGCTAATCATTTTATAAAATGATTAGCTGCATAAAACATGATTGGCTTCATATCTTAAGCACCATTTTATAAAAAAACAGTAGCTGAATATTGGCGGTAATGGCACCCCATAAGTCCCTGCCTAGCGGCGAAAACTGCACGAAGCGATACGACGAAATACAGTGGAACTTATCGAACAAAACTGAACAAACTACGATGAACAATACGGTTTAAATTCCTACTTTGTTACATAACGTTAGGAAATGACACAAAGAAAGCACACGCAAAATTTTTACTAAAATTAGCGCTGTTTAAAAAAGAACACTAAACAAAGAAAAAAAATAAGGCGTTTGCGATCTCGGCAAGAGTTCCATATAACCCCAACATTAATTATGCATAGAGTGTTGCAAAGAAACCTTTATACTTAGTCTTTATGAAATGGAATGCATAATTAATGTATGGGGTTATATGGAACTCTTTCCGCGATCTCTACACTGGCGATCAAGTAGCGTACCTGAAAAGCCTTGCTTAAACTCCCGATAAACTTTCCAACCATGAAAAGATTTTCGAAGCTCATTTTCCTCTTCAAACTGTCTCCTGTTTGGCCTGGAAGAAAGGAAATCAGACGAACAATGCACCATTTGTACTCGGCAGTTTCAGGGCTTTTGTTCGCGTCATATTTAGCATTCGGGCTCGCTGGAACTCGAATAAGTGATTTTGTATCTACACCTCCAGCCAAAGGGTACAATAACGGACAAGGGAAGCCTCTTTCTCTCAAGAAATACATTGCTGCGCTTTCAGCTTCGACAAAATCCACATGCCTGCTGTCATTGGAGTTCAAAACTTTTAAGACGTATTCCTCTTGTTCGAGATCATTACTGCGAAAATTGCTCGCAACTTGTTCTTGAACTGTGTTGCGTCTATGCCCTCGAACGTAAAAGTTTTGGTCGCCGAAGCTTTCTAACTCCTTGATTTCGCTTATCCTTTCAAAGTTGTACAACTTCTTTACTAATTGCTCAGCAAATTCGAGGTTAACAAATGGTCGACTGTAAGCTGATCCACTCATTATCAATCTTTTCAACCGTGCTCATGTTTTGGAAGCAAACCTCCCTCGGGGGAATTAGATGAAAATAGGCTAGGCTCTGATGAATCCTTAGTTTCACACAAAACATTCCGCGTTCTAGTATACTCCGCCGTCCCACAGTCCACCCCCGTTAAGGTTACTTTCCACCTTCAGAGGCCGAAAAAAAAATAGTTTTTTCTTTTATTGGACTAGATTGAAGTTAGACATTTTACCCAACGTTTACAAAAGAAAAATTTAAAAATCTCAAAAGGCGTCCGACTTATTTAGGAAAACGTATTTTCAAATGAAAGTTAATAAATCAGGAGGGTGTCACAATCTCGTAAATGGATAACCCCCCTGGGAGAATATCGCGGAAATTTCGTGTTATTTGCATATTTTGTTTACATCGCGCACTTGAAAACATTCACACGAAATCTCCCATAGAATAAAGGGAAAGCTGAGTGAAGAACACTTCATTCCTTCATTTCCCGCAGCTGATCAATGGTCTCGCAGCATTTTTGTCAGATTTGATTTGAGGGGATGTAAAGAGAGAGGCCTGTGAATGAGGTTGTTTTCTTCAATGATGTCACGTCACGTTACGGTGTTATGTGACTAACATTCCCGGCAAATTACTCAAATTCCAGCGAAATTGTTCATTTCAAACTCAAAGGTGACCCTTGGATTGATGAGTTACTGACTCTGGAAGACCTTCAACTTTTCTCCAACGTATTTTTAATAAGCAAGGGGTCGTCACTTTGCAAAGTGTAGATTGAATCAAAAATCTTGTCTGCACCCGAACTGAATCTCTCATTGAATGTCACATGGGGATACGCTCGAAACGTCAGCTTTTTTATCCGTTACGGTGGCCAATTTACAATTTCAACTTAGTGGATATAACCAAATTACCTTGTTACCCCCACCGACGCAGCACCACAGTTTCTTTAGAAACTTTCAGCCTTTATTCGAATGTCATAAGTGTTTAGTGGCCGTAATAGTCACGGATCTCCCCGCAGGAGGGTGAAATCATTCTTTTAACTATGAAAGGTGCAAGTCACTCAATAAATTTTAAAAATATTTAACGACCCAGTCCTAGGGGTCGTCGATCTTCTACCCGTTTTCCAATCCCCCGATTTCAGAGAGAGGAGAAGCAGTGAAGAGCAACCCTTGGAGTGAGATTAAATTCCGCGGTCAACAGGCTAAACTTAGAAAATAATAAGTCTAAAAGTGAGAAGACCGCACGCCCTTTCCTATCCGTTTTGGCAAGAATTTCACGTCAGGCTGGGTGGTCTGTGTGAAAAATCACTGAACCTGACACCGAAAGAGGAAATGTGTCCTCCCGTGTCCAATCTAAACATTCCGTGGACGCCAATTTGGCGGGAACAGGCCACCCAGACACTTCCGGTGTGAAGATGCTATATAGTATGTGGTGGAAACAACAAGCACCATGTGTTCAGAAATATGGCTTTTATTTTGCTTGCTATGGATCAAAATCTCCAAGAATAAATGCTTTGAAAGCTGTAGAGAAAATTGACTCACTTCTGGAATAGCTTTCATCGGGATTCACGAAGAATATTTCAAACATTCTCCAAGCACGACAAAAATTACACAGATGTCCATAACAAGTTTAATCTTCCTCGTAATTCTTTTTTACGTTTTTCAGTAATGCATGATTCGGTTTTAAGTCGCACTGAACATCCTGAGTTGTTTTTAGACGCAACTACCCGGAAGATTGATAACCTCTAGGTCTGTGACTTCGGTCGAGCGAGTTCTGTGTGTGGGTTGAATTTCATTTTCTTCTTTGATTGCTGGTAATGTCCACATACTTTCGCTCTCTCGCCGGGGCGACCAGGCCATGTCGAAAGAATTCACAGAACCTTCCGAAGCCGATCTATTTCTGAACATTGCCTGGGGTGATACGACAAATCCCGTCTCGCTGGCGGGTCGAACAATATTATTACCACACCGTAAGATCGAGGCTACAAGTCTCTTGATATTGCGCCTGATCGCTCTTATGTGAAATCCATAAATAACAGGATACAGTAATGCGCTTGAATGAGACATCATTACAAACGTGGTCTGTATCTCATACTTCACAAGCACCCGCTCCGATTCTAGAATTATCTCTATCACGTACGGACCCCAACAAAATATTACCATCCCTAAAACGAGAAAAGTTGTACGCAAAGCTTTTGATCCACTAAACGCACTCGCGTTTGATGCGATAGAGTTGCGGTTTGTCCTTAGACCCAAAGTTGACGCAGGGAGAACCGCTATTTGCCCCACTCTAGCTTGTCGACGAGCAGCCTTTAAAATATAATAGTAGGTCACTACCATGACAAGTAATGGAATAAACAAAGTCACAACGGAATAAAGTTTCGTGTAGCCTTCACTTAAGGTGTCACTCCAAATAACTGTACAAGAAAATTTTGCGTGTTCATAACCGTATTTTCCCCAGCCGACAAGAGGCAGCGAAGCCAAGAACAGGCATGCCAGCCATGTAAACGAGATGAAGAAATTTGTGCGTGCCGGTGACATCCTAGTAGCATAAATAAGAGGGTTCACAATGCAGTGATAACGATCGATACTTAAAAACATCACCATTCCTAAAGATGTTGCGGAGAGCAAAACTGTTAAGAAACCGCTTGCTTGACACCAAGCCTCGCCGAACAACCAGTGCTGTCTCACAGACGAAGCAAAAACGAACGGCAAAACGGTAAGCGAAAAGATGAAGCTAGATGCAGTCAAGTTTAAGAGAAGTTTGCTGGAGGAATGTGACAACAATTCCGGTTTTTTAGTGAGAACAAATCCTACCAGTGCATTGCATATCAACGAAGAAACCATAAGCAAAAAGATGGCCGTGGACTGAATCCCGACGACTGTTGGTGACAGTTCTCCAATTCCAGCAGTAGAACTTACATTTAAATCTTCGCTCATTGCTAGCGATAATTCCTTCGTTACTCTGCATTCATGGAGCGCCCACGACACGAATACGTGAAATATAATATAATGTTTTTAGAAAGGTATGACCCTGAAAAAATCTCGGAACGTAATGACAATGGTGTTAAATAACAAGCTCGTTACAAATTAACGAAAATCAATCAAAAGTCTAAGTACGGTTTCATGAAAGAAGACACCATGGAGAATATTATTTTTCACCGACCCATCTGTGAGGCACCCAGGCTAGATAAATGTATTGAATTCCTTCTCTGAGCAAATCGACGGGTTGTCTTTTTTTCACGCAGCTGAGAAACAGTATTGAAAAGATAGTTAAGAGGCGACATTTTCTTCACCAACTCATCCGGAGCAAGTTAAAACGGAAAGTCATTATTTCCCAAGTGTGCCAGATAAACCAGGGGATAAATGGCGTTCTATCACACCAGTGGTGGTCTTAATAATACTTGGCGGATCAAGTCACTCAGTCTGGATAAATTAAGTTGGAATTTCATATTCAGTCAAGTGAGGATCATCCCTTCTTTTGTTCTCGACAGAAATTAGTTCGTAGACTGAAATGTTCGTGACTTTCTCTTGTAGGGTGGGGTGAGTAATGAAAACCCGGTTGCCAATACATTCCACATTGAATGTTCTTCCGGCGAAACATTTGCCACTGTAAACTTGAAATGAGGCTAACACCTCACGACACGCAGTTTAATCGTTTTGACAGGGTTATAAAAGCCGTTTTTGTCGTCATTTTCCCTTCAGTTTTATCCTTCAGATCTAGTAAAATGGCGCATGAAACTGTACCGTGTCAATGAATTTTCAAGGGTACAAAAAAAACAAAAAAACAAAAAAAACAATAGGCATGACTGAAGTGGAAAATGTGCAGTATTTTTTCATCAGCAATAATGTTAGTTCACTAGTGGCTTGAGGTTAATCCATTCCGAGAATCTTACTTATGCTTCGAAGAGTCTCAAATTCTAAATTCATGAAGTAATTAGTAATTTTTTTTTCCGCGTCTAAATGACCTTTAACATGGAAACATTATAACATTCAAAGGCCAAGTCCTTCAAGCGCAAGAAACCGGCCATTTTTAAAACCTTTTAAAACCGATTAAGATATTTCCGGTATTGACTTTACTCATTGTGCGCTTGCCCGTTTTGTTTATTTCTAGAAATTAAGTCGTCTTTCAGACAAGTTCGCGCCAAACTATTTTAATACCATACTTGATCAGAACAGGCTCTCACAAAAATCTTTAACCATACCTTGTTTAATGTTCTCAGTTCCTCCCTCAAGAAAAACCGCTCAAATTTCGTTAGCACCTTTCTTTGCGAATTTCCTCCTAAGGGTACTAGGCTAAACCAGCTTTGTTTCGAAAACTGAGTACGTTGAAGACTTACCTTCAAGTGCTAACGATGAACAAATTTGAAGGAAGAAGAAAGTAACTTAGATGAGTAAGCTCGTCTGGCAATGCACTATGGTCCTCGGGTATGCGCCCGTGCTGTTGCAGCGGTAGAAAACAAAAATGCGGGAACCGGCAAGCTTGGACAAAATATTGGACACATTTGCAAGGAACATGTAACAAATTCAGCGACTGATTTCCAGATCAGCAGTTATTGATGGCGTTTTCTAGTCCAGAGTCACCTTTAGAACCACGACGTGTATTTATAAACCGTGTTGAAAATCCTAGCGAAGAACATGAAGAGCTTAACAAAATGGCACACGGGGTTGCGGAGAGTAGAAGGTGAGCTGAGGTCGCAATCAGTCATATAACTCTCATGGGAAAAGGCATCCAAAGTTGTGGCTGAAAAAATGTTACGTCTTCTTGATAAAAGAATAACGAAACTAGGACGGTGCCTATGGAAACAGCATACCGTAAGAACGAGCTTCAAGCAAAATCAGCTAGTTATAAGTAGGTAATGGGGTCTAAGAAATGGGAACTGGGGGGGGGGTCTAATGTATATTTTTATGGTTCCAGTTTATGGTAACGAAACGTGGAATTATCACAGAATATTAGAAGATTTTCACACTTAAATTCAGTAAATGCTTTCAACCTGTATGAGGCACTTTTCATCATTCCACTGTAAGCTTAGTTGCACAGGTTTGAGTGTGGGAACACAGGATGAGGTTATGATTACTTATCTTTGTTTCAACTTTAAATACCCATTTAGGTAAAATATGAGTTTTTTGCAATAGTTTTATTTAATTTTACTTAAGTTGCAGGTTGCTACAATTAACCCATTTAATTCCCAAGACACCATTAGTAGTTATTCCCCATGTACTACCGTATATTTCCAAGTAAATCCGGCGATATGAAGAGAGAATTTTGAGTTTTATCAAGGTTACATCTGTTAACAGATAAGCTTGTCTGGCTCAACAACCTATTTGCTATATCAGATATTAAAATTACCAACAGAAGTTACGTGTTTTTAACTTCATGTAGTTCAAGGATCAACATAATTTTCTTGACTCTTACAACAAACCTTACATATTTGTCATTTACAGTGCAGATATCTTCTCTAGTTACACATGCGGTTCATTGTGTCATGAGGGTATTCAAAATCATCCAGGAGATATTGTGGAAGCTGGTTGTCTGGCAGTAGGTGTTATTTCCACCTTGTTGTTAGCAAAATAACTCAAAACAGTTTATTCTTCACAGGAAATAGGTACATGTTCATTTAATAATGTAAAGTGTTGTGGAAATTTGGTCTCAAATAATGCATTTCCAGCACTTGAATTTGTAACTTTCCAGAGCACTCACCACAGGAACTTTGTTTGTTCTGGCTGATACAATTAATCTAGCAAAGTGCTGAAAGCTTCACCATTATTTTTTCCTTTTTTCTGGTTTTAACTGAATTGTAATTGGTATGGTTAACATTTGTACACTCAGTGTTACACTCACTTTATTACCCGACTCAGGCAGTCAGAGGGCCAATAACTAAAATCAACCAATCAAAATGCTCTATTGCTGGTCAATATTCTCTCAGTATTGGACTGGGCACCATCCTGAATCCAGGGCTTAAATCCACTCTTCAGGCTCAGCAGCTACCAAAGGCTAAGTATGGACTGTTTGAGTCACTCCCACAAGATTTGATCAAAACAGGTACTGTATTTTGCTTTCAATTTCTTTTTTTGAATCAGATATCATTTGAAAACATAATAATGATTTACATTTGACTTTTTCCAGGTAAACTGAGTGATTTACAACTGGAGGGTGTTCTATTTGCTGTAAGTATATCTAAAACATGAAGGGTAATTCAAAGTTAAAATTTTCCCCCTAACAATTTACTGGATATCTCTCTATGGCAGCTAAATAGAGAACAGTTGATCTCTGCTTCCAGAATATTGTTTATTGCTCTTACTTATTTGTTATTTAGTGTCAAAGACACCAGATGATCCTTGCCAGTGGACAAAGGGCGGGGTTCTTTATTGGGGATGGTGCTGGTGTTGGTAAAGGAAGACAGGTAACAGTTATTTCTTGCTTAGGTATGTTCAGTTGGACCCACCTTCCCTGCCCTTCAACCTCATTTTGCTATGTGGATCATTGAAAAATAGTGAACTGAGTTTCTATCTATCAAAAATGTGTACCACCTCACATTTAGAAAAGTACCAAGAATAACATTTCTTGCTACATGTCTTGAGCATTTCATGTTTTCCCTAGGTTTCTAGCTTCTTTGGTTTTATTTTCTTTTTGTTAGAATATTATGTTAATTTTTCTTAGTTGTCTTTAGTTGTTAAAGCTTTTTTATGTCCCAGATCTCTGGAATTTTGTTGGACAACTTTGCACGAGGAAGATGCAAACATGTGTGGTTCAGCATTTCAGCTGATCTGAGATTAGATGCACAAAGGTTTGTTTACAAAAATCCTCCCTTCAGTTGGTCACTCATGGGAGTCACAGAATTAATGGCAACTGGTGTCTTTCTGAGCTCAAGGCCATTTTTAGTCCTGTCAGGACTATTTACCCTTTTGTTGTTCACAATCAGATATTTTAATTTCTTAGTGGGTTCTTTTTAAAACACTGATTTTGAATCAGTGATAAAAATTTTATTTGAACCGTGATAAATTCGACTTCTATATTCTTGATTCTTTATCCACATACGCGTTTACAGGGATTGCACTAAATTTTCCCTAAGTGGCTACTGATGATGCAGTTGTGCTCTCTAACCAGGGCAGTGGAAAGAGGTCTTATAAACAGGTTTAGACCCTAGTCACTGCTTTTGTTAACTAGTGTCCAGTCCCTTCAGTTTATAATTATGATACAAAATAGCTGTTGTAGAACACTCTGCTCTCTTGTTTTACAGAGATTTACAAGACATTGGTTGCTTTGTTAAGGTAATCGATGGTTGTCAACAGCTTGACAAAGAGACAAGGTAATTATGAACATCCCTGACAACACAAAAAATTGTGAAACTGCTGGTGCTTTGCAGAAATTCCTTTATTAAATTTTGATCGGTTACACTATGATCATCAATTTTTTTTCAGTTATGAATGAGGAAAAAAAATTCTTATACCTGGTAATTCACATTTACATATTTCAGAGTATTTGGTTTGCCTGCTGATTTTAAAGAAGGTGTCATTTTTAGTACCTATGCCACATTGGTATCATCTGTCCAGAAAGGTATTATTTAGTAATGATAGCTTTGTTTAAAGTAGATGGGTCATTAACTTCAAATATCGATAGGTGATGTGCAGGTGATTTTTTGATAAATTGGCAGGGTTTGTACAGAACCTGGAAAACCCAGAAAGTCCTGGAATTTTATTTTGACATTTTCCATGAGTGGATGTCCTGGAAAAAGACTAGAGGTCCTTGATAGTCCCAGACATCTGCTTAACTCAAGCTATAAAGTTTCAGAATTTATGCTATAAGAAAATAAATGTGTTTAGCCTGTAAGGAGAAGTGATTTTGAAGTCTTAGGAATGAAAAGATTTAAGATGAAATTTGGATTCCTGAAAAAGTAACAATCTGATTCCTGTAAAAGTCCTTTTAATTTATCATTTCCAAAAAAGGGTAGGGACCCTGATTAGACTTGGTTATTATTAGAAATGATATACATGTATTATTTTAGGGAACACTGTTTGTCATATTTGCACAGGTACTAATCGTCAGAGTAGACTGCAACAGTTGATTGACTGGTGCGGAGGAGAACATTTTAGTGGTTGCCTCATATTTGATGAATGCCACAAGGCGAAACATTTTGTACCAGTAAGTGATTTGTATAGGATACATCTTGACCTTGTGACCTTTGACTTTTTTTTTAATCTTTTTTATTTATCATTGGCCATGTGAGAAGGTAGCAGTTAAATTTGCTCTATCTACATTTATGCCTATTTTAGGTGGACAGTATGACAGACTTTCTGCATTTCTTTCTCATTTGTACTTTAAAAGCCATTTTGATAATAAAACAGTAAAAAAGAACGATAAAATCTGACGTTGAAATGCTTTAACATGCACGGGACAATGCCCCAGGGCCCGTTAAAGTGTTTTGAAGTGCTTAAGAAATGCAGAAACAAATTTGACTGCTTAGTGTATGAAATGCTTTTATAAGAGCGTTAAAGCCAAATCTCAACGTGCAATCAGACTCCATTGATGGGAAAGTATTTTTATAATATTTTTATGATCTTCGCACCCTCTTATGTTAATTCTTTGCACCAAAAACGCTTTATATGTTGCAATTTGCATGATCTTTTTTATATTTTCGTTGATAATGGAGTCATGACTACTCCAAAACGTCGGATTTTATCATTCGTTTTTACAGTTTTATTTCTTAAGAAATCTCATTTGATACGCATTTTGATAATATTGAATAAATGGATGAAAATTGGCAAGTTTGTGCACAGGCCTATTTTTTTCCTTTTCATAGGGAAAGGAAGAAACAAGTACAAAAATAGCCCTGGCTGTCACTACTTTACAAAGGTATTTATTTTAAATGAAGAAAAATTGAATAGTATCTTTCATATGGAGGTAGATGTAACAACTTTAGAATAAAAAAAATGATTTAAAAAAATGTTTATTGGCCTGTTACTGGGTACTTCAATTAAATAATTTCATGGTTGATCCATGAGTTTTTGTGGTACAAACATTGAGTATGCAGAGTACTCTCTTCAGGCTAGATTCTAGAAATTGTCATTCCATGATTCAAGTATAATGTAATTGTAGGATCCTTCCAAAAGCTCGTGTTGTGTACTGCAGTGCAACTGGAGTCACGGATGTTAAGAACATGGTTGGTACTATTTCTATATATTGGGTTTTGTGTTTGACTTTGCATTTATATTCAACTACTACATTTGTGATGATGGTGTGCATTCCAGAATTTAATAGCCCATTTCCGAATTACCCTTGGCCTCTTTTTCAAAACGAGGCCTGGTGCTCAACCCTTCTTGTGAAAATGAGTTTAATTTGCATGTGAATGAAAACTTATTATCATATGGAAGGATAAGCACCAGGACTCGTTTTGAAAATGAGGCCAAGGGTAATTCGCAATTGGGTTATTGGGAAGCTAGTGGGGGTTAGTGTCAGACTTGGATGCCAGGTTAAGATCTGATGCCAAGTGTAAAGAAATTAGGTGGGGAGGGGTGGGTAAATTAACCTTGTGGAGGGAAAGGGGTGGTGGGGGGGAGGGAGACCATGGAGGGTAGTTGCCTTGGAGTTCATATCCAAGAATTTCATAGGAAGGCTTACCAGTAATATAAATTTTTTTTTCAGGCATTTATGGAACGACTTGGTCTATGGGGAGATGGAACAGCATTTAAATCCTTTGATACTTTTCTTACCAGTATAACCAAGAGAGGATTGGGTAAGAAATGTCACTGAATTGTCAGGTTCCCATGGCAATTTGCCATTGGTTACTTTATATGCCTCTAAGGGTGATGAAATAAACTGAGAGTTAGTTTGCTTGACTCTTGGGCAAAATACTCTCCTCCCACAGTGCCTCACTCTACACCCAGGAGGAGAAATGGGTACTAGTGAGTTGTCAGGGAAGCCTGATGTAATGCTGGGGGGGGGGAGGGTAACCTTGCAAGGGACTAGTATGCCAGACAGGGGGGAGGAGTAATACTCCCTAGTTGCTTCATGCTAAGAAAACTGGGATAAGCTGTGACTAGGGGGGAGAGGGGAGAGGAAGCACTTGGCTCGAGAAATGATCTCTTTAGATTAGAATTGCCAATCATCCCCAGTATTTTTTATGTTTCCCTGACAGTTTGCCAGCACCTATTTACATTCTTGGGTGGATAGAGGCATGTATGGGAGTAAAGAGTTGCATCCTGGAATGCAACACAGTGACTTAACTTGATCAGGGTGTAAACTTCTGACATAATTCAGCATGCCAACAGTGATGTGAACATGACTCTTACTACATTTGTGTTTGTAAAACTGTCATTTCCTGATGGTGCTGACATTTTATTGTAGGTGCTGCTGAAATGTTAGCCATGGAGATGAAGGCTTCTGGGATGTATGTATCAAGGGGTCTAAGTTTCAGGCAAGCTGAGGTATGACTATAATAATGATAATGATGATAATAATGACTTTATTACTGTGTCAATTACATCTAGCAGTGGGGAATCCCCAATGCTAATAGGGGACACCTTACTAGAACTATCCAAAATGAATATAAATCGAAATAGAAACTGATGATAAATGACATAGTTCTGAATGAAATTTACAAATGATATGCAGAAAAATCCGGTGAGAAAAATTAAAATTATGAATTGCAAAGATTGTAGCCAATACATCCATTTAAGGTGTTACTTAAATCAAGCATGTGTATCCGTGTCTTGAACTGCTGGAGACTGACGGCCGATCTTTCTTTATTTGATAACTTGCTCTATAGTCTTGGGCCTAGTTATCGAATTGAATGTTTTCCATACGTAACAGCCAGTTTGGCATCTACACTTACTGCAGTAAGAAGAAAGAAGTGGCAAATTGAAAGTTTAAGTTTTGTTTAGTTAACAACTATTCACCTCAGTGTCAGTGGTTAGTGGTGAATATTTACTGAGCTGCGAAGCGGCGAGGTAAATATCCACCGCTAACCACCGACACTGAGGTGAATAGTGAGATAACATACGTTAATTTGATGCAAACCGGGACGCCATTTTTTCCCGAGTTGCTCGGAGGTAAATAGCAAAGGATATTCGGAGTTTGACTAGCCAATCAGAGCGTGCCTTCAGCGCTATCCACTGTTTTAGTATATACTAATTGCGTTTATTTTATGGCTAAATTTGGCCAAGCCCTGACTATCAAACAACCTTAAGTGGCTTGGTGTTGCATGGATTTAGGAGTGAGTGATCCTAAACCATCTGAAAATCTGTTTGATTTATAACCTCATGAACCCTCTTTTAGAAATCATCCACGCAGCTTTATTTTTAACATGTATGCGGGCCTATAAATACTAAGTTTATATTTTGCAAAAAAAGACTGTCAGAAGGAAAAATTCATTTTCTCAGTAACTGATATGACGTGCATTTATTTATCTATCTGTTTTCAGTTTGTAAATGTAGAGGCACCATTAACTCCAGACCAGATCAAGGTCTATGACACAGCAGTTCATGTGTGGTGAGTAGTGAAAAAAAATTCAACCCTTGATGCAAAGATAGCAAAACACACGCGTAGATTTAAATGCGGCAATGAAATTACAAGGTTCTGGCGTTTGTCGTTTCTGGACCCAGAAATATGCTGTTATTGTTTTTTTGTTTTTTGTTGTTTTTTGTATTTTTATTTATCATCTGTTTTTTATTTTATTTCAAGGAATGAGTTGAAGAAGTCACTGGAATACGCAATGGCTCGAACTAACACTGCAACTACAAGGGTGTGGTCAATATATTGGTCAAGTCACCAGCGGTTCTACAAACAACTCTGGTAAGGTAATTTTAATTATGTTTAGGTGACTACGTGCTGTAGACACTCTTGGAGTGTTCACTGCTGCCTGAGTTAGTTCCTTTTTTCACTTAGAATTTGAAGAGGAGGGCACCCATAGAAGGTTAGCCGAGAAAAACGACAAGTAGTTGTCCATTGTGAGGGTATGCACGACATGAATTTCGCGTATCGTGGGTTTGGTTTCTGGGTCCCGTCTTCTAATAAAAACCGTCAGTCAGTGTTCGGTCTTACACGAAAAAGCGCGTTTCTAAAGGAATGTGAATAGTCCCCAGGTGCGAAAAAGTAAACACGTTATTGTATAATCCTTGGTGTCCGTTAGAACAGAAGCTTGCATTAAATGTCGACTTGTTTTGCAGCCGTATCCAAAGAGAAACGAAAACCAATGGTAATATTTCCTAGTACATGTAACTAAGAACATTTTGGTTTCACGCTGATCGAGCTATGTTCCCTTTGTTATTGTTTTTATTTTCTATTTTGCACAGCATGAGTATGAAAGTTCCTCAGATTGTGCAGGAAGTCCAGCAAGCGATACAGGATGGCTATAGTGTCGTGATTGGTCTGCAGACAACTGGGGAGGTTTGTATGGTTTCTAAGTTAGATTGCGTTACTATTCGAGAGATTTAGCACTGGGTTTACGTGAAACGACAAACTTCAGCTTTCCCTTTCACGTTTCGCGTAAAATAGCGTGAACCTGGCTGCTTTAGCTTCACGTAAGCTCACGTCATGGAGGATTTGAAGGAGCCCTTGTGTGACTTAAAAGGAATACTTTTGGTGCCCTTTTTCCGGTAATTAACTTCTATTCTGTATGGGAAAAAGTAGAGAAAATCTTACGTACACGGCAAACGCAAAACAGGTCACTCTCACGTAGAAACAGCAAAGCCCAACCGGCAAACGTGAGAAAATGTGGGGAAAACGTGGTCATGTGGTCACTCTCGCCGTTCAGGTTTCACGTATACGCTGTGCTAAATCTCTCTAATATTAAAGAAGTTTTTGGTTGAGTATCGAAAGTTATCCGGGATTTCGTTGGTTTGCTTTACTACGCTTTGTGATTAGTCTAAAAACATCGCGCCACTATCTCGACCAATCAGATGCAAAAATAAAACGAATCGCGCTAGGGTCACGCGCATTTTCCCGCGCTTCGAGTAGTGTGATTGTGTTGGCTTTGAGTTCTTATTGTTGTTACGATATTTTCTTTTTCTCTAACTAGCTGTTTTGATATCGTTGGTTTTGGTTTCACGGCGCTCAACCGAAAACCCCTCTAGTACTGGTATTGTTGATTACTTTGCTTTTTACTAAACGTTGCCTTTACAAACTTGTCTCAACCATTGGTTTGCGAAAAAAATGCAGTGCTGGATCACCGTAATAATACCATTACTTCATAATGTACTCCAGAACTTCCAAGTTTTTCGATGAATTTGATACTGTCATGGCTATTTTGTAACATTTTCGCTTTTTATTTTTTACTTTCAGGCAAGCTTAGAGAGTGAAATATCGCGTGGTAGAGGCGTGCTGAATAACTTTATTTCCAGTACGGAAGAAATCTTGACCAGGTTTATCACGCAATATTTTCCGACAAAGATTTCAAAATCGGTGAGTTCATCTCAACTGGCACTATAAATTTAACTTTCGTACAATTTCACTTGTCTTGTAGGAAGGCAGCGGTTCAACACTACCCTTCTCTTTTTTATTCATTTGTTAATTAATTTTTTTCTCATTCCGAAATAAAATGTGACAGATTGAATTGTTAAATTGGATTTTAGTAGTTACTCTTCCCTGAGTATATCTCCATCCGCTTTTTGCCAGTTCGAATTTTTGTTTGCCTGTTAGTTTTTTTTCGGAGGAGAGGATGCAAGAAACAAAATTGAAAAATTTAGATTGAGCTTTTGAAGATGCGCAAATTGTAACGCCGCTCTATTACAGCATCTTTTGCGGTGGCCTCTTGTCATAGAAATTATTTCCTTATTTAGAATGGTGATGTTGTGGAGGACAAGTGGAGTGTGCAAGCCAAGGATCTTTTACTCTCTTTTGTCAAGAAAATTAATCTTCCAATAAGGTTTGTATCCAAGCTGTTTGCAAGACGCTTGTCTCTTAGCAACCTCGTAATGGCCCCTACCCCACCACCGAGGCCTCCGGGGCTCAATGGTTGAACTCGAAATCTGATAGTCAAGGGTTCTATTCCTTGTTGGGGACTCAGGTTGTTTTTAAATGTCCCACGCTCGGGATAAAACGATTTCAGCTTTCGTTTCGTTTATTTTCATTTTATGCTTTAATCTTTCCCTTATTTTTGCTGGCCGTGTTTCCTATTTTTCCTCACTCGAGTCAATCGACAAGTTGTTGGGTAATTTTTACCAGTCTTTGTGTTTCACCCCGGAAAGTCAGCTTCTGTTTCAAAGTTAGTTAGCTTGTGTGAGCGCGTCCAAACAATTTCCTTTCAATTTCAGCCCACTAGATGACCTCATAAATCAACTAGGTGGACCAAAAATGGTAGCAGAAATGACGGGTAGGCGTGGTCGTGTGGTAAAAACAGAAAAACAGCCTCATCCTCATTACGAGGCTCGAGAATCGGACAGTAGCAATGTGGACAGTTTGAATATCCAAGAGGTAAGAGAGAGGTGTGTGATAGAGAAGGTGTGTGATAGAGAGGTGTGTGATAGAGAAGTCTTTCTCGATAGAAGTGTCAGTTTGTGCCGTCATTGTATTTTCATATTTTAGAGAAACAGCTTCATGAATGGAACCAAACTAGTTGCTATCATATCTGATGCGGCCAGCACAGGTAGGGCGAGTTGATATTTTTGTCTTTTCGTCAATTGAAGGTATGTACAGGAGTAAATATCAGAGCGAAAAAGTATAAAATTTTGAAAAATTATTGAGAAATTTTCTGCAGAAAATTGATGCCATAGTTCAATTCACTCCTTGACATAAACTGCCATGAATCTCAGGAATCTCGCTACATGCCGATCTCCGAGCTGCCAATCAACGTCGCCGTGTTCACGTGACCATTGAGCTGCCTTGGAGCGCGGACAAAGCTGTGCAGCAGTTGGGCAGGTCACATCGGTCAAACCAATCAAGGTATGGTAACATCACCCTTCAAAAGGCTTCCAAAGTATGATGTGGGTTTTGATTTTGCAAGTGCAACCTGTTACTCAGTTGATTTTATTATAGCGCCGTCTGTAGTTGCTTTTTGGAACATTTACGAACAATTTCACAATTGTTTGGTGATTCTTGGAAATTTGAAAACGCGATAGGGAGAAAATTCTTAGAAAACCTTTTGTTGATTGCGATATTTTTTGTTATATTCTAATTCACTACCCCGCTCAAACGAATATAAAACATTTCTCATTCAATAAGTAACCATGATTGGGGTGTGTCAACACGAGCTGTATGCGACCCTCTTTATTATGCCTTCATTTAGAAAATTGATATGAATGGTACAGCAACGGAATGAAAACTCGGAAATTTAAAAAATAAAGCAAGAAAAACTAGCCTACAAAACAATCTAAACTAAGTTCGTATATGCAAAAACTACTTCTAAGGGAAACTGACATTCCCTGGTCACTGGGTATTTAATTTTGAGGGCGTAGGGACGGGTCGTAAGACGCGAATGAATGTAAATGACTACAGCTCGAATATATATAGCCTAGCGCTAATGAAGCAATGTGACAACATACCATGCAACACCCCAAAGAAAGGGTTACGTAACCCATGATAAATATATTTACTTTTAACACAACTCGCTTGAGAAAGGCACCAAGTCTGTTTAGGTAATTGATTTTAACTTAGAAAATTTGTGTTCAATGTCTTTCAGTGGACCAATCTATAAACTTGTTACTACCAACTTGGGCGGCGAGAGAAGATTTGCAGCGGCTGTAGCTCGCAGGCTCCAATCCCTAGGTGAAGTGTAACAATAATGAAAAAAAAAAAAAACCAGATATGTCAGTGATACAGCTAGCAGCGGTTCTTACTTTTTGCCTTTAGAAATAATCTTTAATTTTGAAGTTCTTTCAAGGGGAGATAATCGATGGCTTACTGGATTGACAATAGATATCTTCAAGTGTGACCCTTGCGAGGGGAGGGGATGGTCTTTGTCGGCAAGACACCCTCCTGACGTAATGCCTTGCTACACACGTGGGTATAAAAGGGCACCGGCGAACCATCATGGAGATCTGGCAAAATGCCAGTTTTCAATCCACTGCCGTAATTGACAATTGCGGAGTCGTACTGAGTGAGCTTGTTTTTGTTGTCAGGCGCTCTTACAAAGGGAGACAGGCGAGCAGCGACTGGTGCCGACTTGACTCAGTTTAATTTTGACACTACTTATGGTCGATCTGCTCTTAGGAACATGTACCAGTCCATAACTTTGGTATGTTGGAAAGATTGCTGTAAACAAATTGATCCTTTTAGTTGCTTCGTTAATCGTTGTTTCGTGGTTAGGTTTATTCCTATTTGATTTATAGTTTTTTCCACTCATTAATCTCAATGTTATTACAGTTTTTATATAGCTATTACTATTACCATTGTGTTTTAAGTGTGACTTGCTCTTTACTCAGCAATCCATCTGCCCAGGAGTGGCTTTATCCAAGGTCCTTAGTGGAGCAGAACTTCCCGACAAATTTGAATTCACGGAGTTCAATGCAATAGCCAGGGTATGTTTATCGAGCCAAGCATTGTTTCCTTTCATCGGCCGGTATGATCATTATTGTTTTGATTTCATGTTATTAGATCGAAATACGCCCTAACCATTTGCCTATTTTTTCGTGTTTTTCCTTTATAGCAATGTCTGATATCCATGGGTTTGACTGACGCTACTTTTGTGGTAAAAGACAAAGAGGCTAGTGATGTTGGACGGTTCTTAAATCGTATTTTGGGTCTAAGCGTTGAAAAACAGAATTTGGTAAGCATAAATAGCGGCCTCCCTATTTTAACAGTAAAACGTAATCAAGCCGCTGAAGTTTTGTCAAAATGAAACTTTACGATTCATTCCAATTTATTGGCATTTACAGCAAAGGTTCGAGTTAAATTTTTCCATCAGCAAACTTCATGTTAACTCTTTACTCTAAGAAGAATGAACAAAGGCTTCGGAAAATCCTTTCGAAGATGTCTCAACTGTTCCGATATCGATTCTGACCATTGAATGAGAAATTCACAAACATTGCATAAACTGTGGTGTTATTCACTCCTAGCTAGTTAGAATGTCTTAGAACCCGATGAGAATTTTATTAAAAAGATTAAAAAACTTTAATAAAAGATCTAGTCTTACAGCCTACAAACAATGAAGAAAGTTTTGGACCCTAGTCGTCACTCAGGTTAATTCAAAGTCATATATCTTAAGTTGTTTTGAAACTATCTTTTTTTTAATTGAATTTTTGATCTCTCTTGTTTGTAGATGTTCTCGTATTTCTGTGAGTGCCTACATGCTACGATTGAAACTTCAAAACGCGAAGGAAGGTACGTATATGCACCCATCTTCAGTTTTAAATCAAATTGTATGTTATATGCATTGTTTTCGCTCCACACTCTCATGTAATCAAATGAAAGCTTAATACTTGTGAATCAGCATACAAAGTGGTTGCACTTAAAGCGCATGTCAGTTGAGTGTCGTGAGTCATCACAACAGCCAATCACGACAAAGGAGAATCTTACGATAAAGCAAACCGCCCGAAGCGAGGGAAAACGTGCGTGAACATGTCGCGATTGGTTTTAGTTTTACATCTGATTGGTTTACAGGCTGGCGCCAGTTTTCTCGACCAATCACTTCACAGAGCGGGGTAAAGCAAAACAAGTACAACTCCTCCTTTGCACTCTCATTGGTGAATAATGGGCGTCATGGTTCGCAAAAATTTTGCGTTATTGAAAACGTTAAGGTGTAGGTACACTGACAGTCATAGAGGTACTCTCTTTTGCCAGCAACATGCTCAGCCTGCGTTCTTGCAACAACAAAACTGGCCGCTGACCATTTACGCTCCTTCGCTTTTACTTGGAACCTGATCATCCACAATGAAAGTAGAAGCTGAGGACTCTAAGGCTTTATTTAAACACTTAGACCTCTTGAAGGGCTTTAACTCTTTATTCATTTAAACTGGAAAGTGCTGCAGACACTACTTGAATCACATTATCACCCTGAGTAATAATTTTCTTAATGTTGCGTTACATTGCATAGGTATAGTGAAGGCGTGACAGACGTATCTGGGTCCTCGATTACAATGGTCCGCGGTCCTCAACCGGTTTTTACCGACTTCCAAAAAGGTGTCATGGAAACGAAGTAAGTGGTGAATAGAGAACAACTTGTTCTCGTATTAGGTGTGAAAATTGCGATTGAGATCATGGCCGTTAAACCAGGTAACTTTCTGTATGTTTCCCTCGATAGGCACGTGACTCTAAACGTTGACCGTGGGATAGACTGGGACTCCGCCGTGAATTTGTTTCAAGAGCATGGGTCCAATAACCTGGATGGCTTTTACCGCTCTAAACGCGAACAAAGGGGACAGCGTCTGTTTTTGTTAGCAATTCTAAAGGAGTCTTCAACACATCTTTTCAACATTACAAGGTAAACAGTGATTCAATATTTAAGTTAGTAAGTCATATTTCGCATGAAATTTTACGTAATTAACTACATCCACTGAAGATTTTAGCGCGTAAAATGTGATCGAATAAACGTATGTAAAGGGAAACCGTTTTCGGTTAGGCCGGCTCTTAAAGGGTGGAGAGAGAGGAGGGACGACAATTCATGTAAAAATTGCGTTAAGGGAACGGGGCAAGCTTTTCGAACGATATTTTGAAGTTAATTGTAAAACAGTAAATAAGTCAGCCGTTGAACCAGTTGTGATCGTTCGGCTGTTTCGTGTTAAATTGCAGACCAAACACAGGCCGGTCACCATTTGAAGAAGAAAAGACCGATCTGTTACATAAATACAAAAAGATTTCACTACAAGAAGCAGGTGAAAATTCATTTTGCACTAACTTAATTGCGCAAATTGACTGCAAGATACTAGAAATCATGGAGAATATTGGAGTATGGCCTGTGTGGTGAACGGAGACGTTCACAGACCCTAAGGACGAATACTCAATTACCCAAAACTTTTACACCGTTATTCTAACAACTTAACACTCAAGAGACACACCGAAAACTCATTAATGAATACAAAAAGCCGTTCAGAGCGAGCAGAAAGCACTGAAAATATCTGCTTTACGTCGAAACGCAGATATTTTAATATTCTTTTTTAAAAACAAAGAAAAACTACTTTTCTTCACTCTCTCACTTTCGTGACATTGCGCTGCAGTGAGTGAACTCATTCAACACCTTCGAAACATTTGCTAGTGAACCTGAGGTTGATGAAAAAAAAATGTTCTAGTCAACACAAACTGGTGTTTTGCTCTGACTCTTCTTTTGTCTCGGCTTTGTCAGAGGCCGGATGGAAATCGCAGTACGAAAGAACGAGAAATCACTGCATCCACGGTTTGGGGTGCAAGAATGGATCATCTTGTAAAAGTGAGTCTAACAAACCGTGTTAAATCTAAACCTCAGTCTGTGTTGGAATGTTTGACGATCGCACATTTAATGTTTTTTGCTAGGCAACGAGTTTTGGCACTATCAGTGGCTTGCACGCCTAGTGCTTCTGGTCAGCTATTTCATCCAGGTTGACCCACGTATTGATCGATTGATTTTATTATTTATTGACATAAAAGCTGGTTGTCGCATAACGGAGATCCATTTGTTATGCGGAGGAATAATTCCACTGCTGTCTGCCTTGGAAATAGCTATGGAAAAACACGCTGATAAACTGGGACTCACGTGAGTAAACCAATCGCTTTTTAATAAACTTTAAAAAATGGCAATGTTTGGCCCTAAGTTAACTGTTAATTTAACAATCATAGACCCATGGCCATATCTGTTTTTTCATCTGTGTTCTGGTAAAAAAATTTCAGCGGGATTCCTGGTTAAAGACTTAGCTTTGCTTAACTTTTTCTGTTTCCTCTCTTGACTTATGAATGTGTATGACCTCGCACTAATTTCATCAAAGTGCGTTTGGATTACACACGATTGATTAGTTTATCCCATCCTGATGAGGAACATGCACTGAGTTTTGGCCCATAACGATACTAAAAAACTTGGATGAGTTCAGGTAATAGTTACGGGCTAATAAGGTTTGAAACGCTTGACATTATCATCTTTATACTTACTCTTGCAGCAAGGACAGTCGCTCTTTGAGAGTAGTCCGAGTTGAACTTGATAGTGGTCAGCGGCTGGTTGGATTGCGTTACCCAGAGCAACTTATACCGGAAGTGACGTTGTTCCTGAGAGAACAAAAACTAGTCGACGCGCTTTTGGTACGTTTCATTCTACGGAATTGTTTTATGCCCCTTTAGTCAGCTGCTAAAGCTATATTAGCTGAACTGAAGATTTTAAATGACGAACTTCTGACTTTCTATGATATCCAGAAGATTCTCTCTTCCGCCAATGACAAAAAAGAAATTTAGATAATAGGGGATTTTATATCTATTCCATCCAGTCTTTCTTTGTTATACAGTAGCCGGACGTGTCCCACAAATTCACGATAAATCACTTTAAGGTCTATTATTACTAATTTTTTAGGTATGGGGCTGTGCCGCGCCATCTTCGCGCGCTAAGAGCTGCGCTATAATTGTAGTGTCAGTTGTTGACGGTGGCTAGTTTTAATCAGAGATATGATCTTATCCTTCGCGATAACAAAACAGCAATCTATATAACGCGAATGTTAATGTAGTACTTTGGGAACTCTTTGGAAAGTCTTCGGAAACTTCGGGTATTAACCGCCTCCCGGTTAGCTCAATTGGTTAGGGCACTGGACTGTTGTGCGGGAGGTCGAGGTCGAGGGTTCGAGCCCCGGCCGGACCAACAGAGT